CATTTTTTATACTAGTAGTATTAATTTCTGCAGATATTATAAAAATTTATAGTATTAGTAAATAATAGTTTTCTTTAAATAATAAATTACAAATCTCTAAAAAGAAATCATATAATTCTTTATTAAAAGTTTTTAGTATTTGAGAGTTAATATTAAAGAGTTCTTCATATTGCAACCTATTAATAGAACAATATGCTCAAGTTAAGTTAGTATGTTAAAATTTATTTTGTGATACTATATTAAAAGTAAAAAAACTAATAATAATATGAAAAATAATTATATTAGATTCTCAGTCAAGATAATTTTTTTATTCTTTTTGCTTATTATCAAATACTAGAAATAAAAGGGCTTCAAATAGTGATTCTTCATATTCTGATAATTATTCTAACTATTTTTGAAATTGATAATAACTTCCTGAGCTTATAATGTGATTATCAATAATAATAATTATCTTTGATTATACAATCAAATATTTCATAGCTAAGACTACAAATTGAATTTCTTATATATATTTTACATATTATATTTCATATATTGCATTAACTGCAATAGTAGTTTTAAAAATATTTTTTTAGCTCAAAGTATTAGGGTTTTAATAAATATGATAGTAGCTTTATTACGCTTATTAAGCTATTTTCATAAAGTATATATTATGAAACTCTTTATAAAAAATCTTCTATTATTTCTGATTAAAGATTTAATATTATCAAGTAATAATTTACATTTCATTTTTACTATTTTAATAATAATTTCAATATATTTTTATTAATTAGAAAATCATAAATTTTATTGTTTAATAAGAACTTTATTTTATTTACATTTTTTGATATATAAATTACAAATTTTGATCATATTCTTATTAACCTTTTATACCTTTTTTTAATTTTTCTATTTCAATTCTTTAATCTTTTAGATATTGATGTATTTGTATAATTTGATTATTAAAGTTTGTTATCAATTGAGATTTTTGTTAAATTTTTAGTTTTAGAAACCTTTTAATATTATCAATCTAATAATTAGATTAAGATAATTATCAGAAATAGTTATATTATTTTCATTAATATGAATTAGATCCTTTTATTTTTTTATATAGAATCAGTAAAAAATTGTTAAAATTGATTAGTAATAATAATCTGATTATAATATTTTTTACAAATTAAATAAACTTTAAAAAAGAATAAAGGTTAAAAAGTTTAGAAAAATAATCATGATAAAATATGAGTTATTTATCTATTTCTTGATTACTAGTATTTTGTCATTTCTGTGATTCTTTTGTTTTACATGATTTTAATCCAACTTCATTGTACATTCTTATAAAAAAAATAACAAAAACTCAAAAATCAAAATAATAATTGAAATAATTAACTAATAAGAAAAATTTTTTATTAATAAATTAACTTTGATGCTCTAAATAAACTTATAAATTATAATAAATAATATATATCTTGAAAATTTCATAAAAATATTACATAAATTGTAAAAATTTTTGGTTATAATAAAACTGCAAATTTTTTGTATTAAAGGATATTTTAGTAATTAAATAAATATATTCAATAAAGATAGTCACTGTAATTAAAATAATAGTATAATTGAGTTGCAACTTGTAATGCAATTAATTTTCCTTATAATACAATTAAAATTGCAACTCAATTGAAATTTGAAAATAATTATAGAGATCATTTTTAATTTTCAATATAATAAAAGAAATATTATGCTAAAATTTTAGTATTAATAAATTAATACTTATGATAATTGTTATAAAATTAGTTAAATATTCTAAATTTAAATATGATTGTCATAATATAACCTAAACTACGGTCAATTCTTATTATAACAAACTCTATATCCTAGACCTTAACTTCGCTATAAGGTTATAGTAAAGATTTTAAGAGATTTGATTAGCCAATTCGCTATAAGGCTATAGTGAAGATTTTAAGAGATTTGATTGGCTAATTCGCTATAACAAGAGTATTTTTATTATATTTGTTCAAAAAATTCGTTATATCAAGAGTTCGCTATATCAAGAGTTGACTGTAATTAGGTAATTAAATAATAAAATAATAAAATCTTTAATTGTAATAACTGCAGTAATAAATATAATATTTTTTTTATTATATTAAATACATTTACTTAATTATTAAAAATAAACTTTAGTTAAAATTTGCAGCTTTATTATAGCTAAAAATTTTCACAAATTATGCAATTATTAATTAAATTTTAGAATTAAATATCTAATTGTCATAAAACTTTCAAAATATATATAATTTATTATAATATATAAGTTTATTTAGAGTATTAAAGTAGATTTTATTAATAAAAATAAAAATTTTCTTATTAATTAATTATCTTAATTATTATTTCAATTTTTGAGTTTCTGGTTATTTTTTCAAAGGAGTATATTTTTTAACTAACTCTGTAAAAAGGCATAGAAGGTATTTTGTTTTTAATTTCAGATATTTAGACATTAGAATTGTTATTTAAAATATTAGCTTGCATTTTTATTCATTTTATAACAAATTTAAAATTTTTAGATCTTTTACTTTTTCAAAGAGTATTAAATTATATGAGATTATTTGTAATTATAAAAATTAAACATCTTGTACTTACTATTTGTAAAGTTTTTTTAATAATGAACAAATATTATAAAAATCTATAAAGAATATAAGACATAAAAGGTAAGTATGAGTTAATCAAATTTTAAAGAATATTTTAAAATCCATTTTTATTTTTAGTATATTTCTGATTATATTGCAAAATGCTTATATTAATGAAATTTTGTTTATTTTTAATTAAAATTAATAATTAATAAATTAAAAAAGTATAATTTTAAAAATATTAAATAATAAAATGATTCTACTTATAATATATATAAAATAAATATAAATCAGTTTTTATTTTAATTTTATAAATATGAATTATTTTTTGCTTATTTAATTAATAATAAATTTCTATTATGTAAAGTTTTCCTATATTAAAAATATTAAATAATTTGTAAAATTTGTAAAGTTATTACTGTAAAAGATCAAATTTTTTCTTATATATAAATATTTAATAATATGATATTTTGAAATCTTTTGCTGAATCTTATAAAAATTTATTATGTTAATTTTTTTAAAAATTAATAATATTTTAACTTATATAATTGTATAAGAAATACATAATTTCTATTTTTTTATTTAATAATATAATTTTAGAAAAAAATAATTTTACTTAAAACTAATTTGTTTAATATCTTAATTCAGTTTAGCATTTTAATTCATATAATATTTATTTATATTATTATTAAGATTAAAATATCTTTTTGTTTTGTTTTTTTATTTTCTTAGCATTATTTTTTTTGTTCAATTGAATATAAATTATAATTATGCTTAATAGTTTTTCTAAAATTCTTTATTTAACTGGTTTTCTTTTTTATGTAATATTATATAAATTGTTATTTTTAACAAGTTTAAAATAATTATAAGCTTTAATTAAGTTTGTATTTTTATTATACAAATGATTATTAATTATTATTTGATAATTGCTAAAATTATTTTAACAAATTCATATTTTAAATTGCATTTATTTAAATTTTAATTTAAAATTTATACTTAATAAAAAATAATTTAATTAATTATATAAAAATATTTAAAATCAATTACTTTTAGTAAAGAATAAATGCTTAATTTAAAGAATATATGCATTTTATAATAGAAAAAAAAGAAACTACCAAAAAAAATTTTTTATTGTATAAGCTAAATATTTTATAGTAAAATAAATTTAGATTTAACATTAACTTCAAAAATTTTTTGATAATTTCTTCTATTTTTATTACAAAACATCTATATATTAAAAATATAAAAATATATTTTATATTAATAAATTTTAAATATTTATATTAAATAAACATTTTACTCAGTTTTTTTTTAAAAGCTTTAAATAATATATACTGTAAATAAACACAGCAAAAATAGATTTATTGATATATATATATAATATATATCATGAATAATTAGATTATTTTTATCATAGTATCATCATAGTAAAATTATAATATCATAATAAAATTATTTTTATTATAGAAAGATTATAATATCATAATAAGATTATAGCATCATAATCATAATCTATTTAAGCTGTTTATAGCAAGCTTAGATAGCTAATTTAAAAAATAATATAAAGAAATGACTATATTTATTGTAATTTGCAATTTTAATTTGAGCTAATTAGTTTAAAGTTTAAAAATATTAGTTAATTTTGATTTATTAAAAGTTTATGTCAGTAGTTTAAATTTAATTAAAAGTTTTAAAATTTGTGATATTAAAAAATTTTTTATATTTATGTTTCACCACATCCGATCTGATATGTCAGACATCAGAATAATGATCCGCAGCGTTATACCCCATCAAATCAACTTAAAGCGTTGGGGTTCATATGACAGTGTAATGAGCTTTGTTATAACTTCCCCACTTTATGTTGGAATTTCTATCCTGATATTTTTGTACAATTCATGCGATGTCGCCTGGAAAAAAATTTTTTTAAAAAAGTTACATCTAATTTATTTATGCATTAAAATTAGGACTTTTGTGGAAATGTGTTATCACGAGGGAAAGGAAGGCGTCAATAATGGTTTGAATTGGCGCCAAAAATCATTGTTATGTCATTACTTGCAAAAAAGATGGGCATCTTTGAAATTTTAAAAAGATCAATTACATTGAGTGGCAGTTCTGTACAACAACACGCCCTTTAGCACGCGAGGATCATTTTGTGTACATAGAAAGCAAAAACTTGTTTTGCATCATGTTTGATGCGTACAATTCCGTAATTAGAAACTGATTAAAAAAAAAAATATTGATTCTAATTGATTCTATTATAACGATAATGAAATGATTCTAATATATAAATAAATAACATATTCGATTTCATATTTAACTGTTTTTTGACTTGATACTTCGCTTCGTACGTTTAACCGTTCAAGTTTACCAAATCAAACCGGTCCATTCCTATTATACCAAAAAACGATGGCCATCTTTGTGGACACAGATTGCGTTGGTGAAGTTGCTCTTAGCAACCTAAAACTGTACAAATACTCTGCGATTGATAAGTCACCAATTTCAAATTACTTATTGAAACCATATTGGAATTGGGCTGTCGAGCTTTTTCCCCTGTGGATGGCGTGAGTTACTTTTATTTTTGCTTGTTTGATGATTTGCACGAATTTAATCCTTTTTATTTATAAATTCATTCTTTAGACCAAATTTGATTACATTATGCGGTTTAGGTTTCGTTATATTAAATGTTATAGGTGTAATAATTTGGATTCCAGATCTCGTGGGTCCTGGTCCACGTTGGCTATATTGGAGGTAATTAATAGTCTGGATGGTCAGGTCAATTTCAAGGTATTTTTTTTCATAAGTCGACTTTTATTTATTAACGTTAATGTTATCTCGGGCAATTTTGTTGAATAATAGTTTTCCGATCGGTTTATGGCTTTATTCAACATTTGATAATGTTGACGGTAAACAAGCTCGAAGGACAGGAACTTCGTCTCCTCTTGGAGAACTTTTTGACCATGGTTGCGATGCTTTGAATTGTTCTTTTGGCTCATTGGTTTTCTCGGCTGCACTGGGGTTGGGACATTCTTACCGTTCTGCAACTATTTTCCTTCTTACAGTTATTCCTTTTTTTTTCTCTACTTGGGAAGAATATCATACTGGCGTTTTATACTTGGGATATATTAATGGTCCTACAGAAGGACTTATAATTGGCTGCACTTTACAGCTTTTGTCGGCCATCGCAGGTATATTATTATTATTCGGTCGACCCTTTCTATTGAAAAGGTATTTTATTTAATCTCCCTATCCCAAATAATAGGACCTGAATGGTGGATGAAAGATGTGCATGATATATTTGGAGGTTCATTTACAACACTCATTCCAAAGGGATGGACTTCCGCAGACATAATAATATTGGCTTTGGCTATCGGTGCGATCACTTTACATATCCCTCCATGGTAAATTCTTAATTTGTGCTTTTGATTTTTTTTTTATAAAAAAAAAAATTTGGATCATTAAAAGTTTATAATTTTTTTCTTCAGTATAATTAATGTGTATCAGAATTGTAAACGAAGAGAAATATCTTTTATTTCATCATGTTCTCAGCTTTTCTCATTAGCTAAATATACACTGTGTGCATATTTTTGGCTTACATCCCCTTATTCCTATATTTTACGAGATCAACACTTGATGTTATTCGAATTAACACTTGGCATTGTATTCGGACGTGTTGCGACAAAGATTATATTGGCACATGTGACTAAAATGAAGTTTCCAATGTATACAGTATTATTAATACCCTTGTTTATAGGCGCAGTATTGACAAACATTCCCCGTCTCTTTGATACGTAAGTTTGTCGTAATTATTCTACTTGAATGACTTTATCTACTTTAAATTGATTATTTTCTTATTAATTATTATATCAAATTTTTTTCATGGAATGTCATAAGTGGAGAAATTTTATCTAGAGAGTCCGAACATATGTTTTTGTGGGCTTATTTTATTTTCTCCATAGTCGCTTACTTCCATTGGGCTATTTTAGTGATAAATAGATTTTGTTCACACTTAAAGATTAATTGTTTCCGTATTCCATATAAATCACAAGGTCCGAAAAAAATTACGTAATTGTTTATTTTTTCTTATGTCCCTTGAAATTTAAGAGGACAGTGAGGAAATTTTATTATTATTTATAATCAAATAATTTCACTAATTTGATATATGTTTATTATAATTTTATTTTCAAAATCATTTTTAATATTAATTAGATGAAGAAGATGAAGAAGATGAAGAACGTGAAGAAATATTATCATAGATTACTAACCAAAGACAATCGAATGCCTAAATGACATTTTTAGTGATTTAACCATATTTGATTGTTAATTTTTTTTATTCTTATTATTATTATTTTTATTATTTTTTGATGTTCTTAGATGATATATATATTTTTAAACTTTTTTTAATTGCTTTTAAAATATTATATAAATTATTTAAGCCTATTCAAAATATTTGAGAAAAGATTTCGTGTATTATCTAATTATTTAATGTAAATCTTAAATAAATTTTGGTATAGTATTTATTATATACAAATAGGTTTTATTTATAGTTTATTAATATTTTATTTTTGATATTTGAATTTTATTGGTTCTTTTTTTTTTTAAAATTTTGATTTAATATTTAGTTATTTTAGATATAGTATTATATTAGAAAAAATCACTAATAAAAAATAATAAATAAATAAATAAATAAATTATTATTGTTTAAATTTTATAAATAAAATATAAAAAAAAAAAATGGAGAAAAAATAATATTCTTTAAAGATTATTATAATAAAAGTATATAATTTGATAAATTAATAAAAATTTATAATTGTAAGATAACATTTTTAATAATATGATATTAATTATAAATTTATATAAATAAGGTAGCATTTGCAATAAATATGTATTTAATAATTAATAATATGGTTTTTTATTTATTAAATTTATAATCTAAACTAACTAGTAAAATTTTTCATTAAATACTCACAAAAAAAGGTGATACAAACATAGTACAGATAGTAATATAGGAAATTAAAAAATATAGTAGAATTAATAAAAATTATTTATTTGATATAATTTATAATATAAGATTAATTATTATATTTATATTTTAAAGAGAGTTGAGATACATATTTTTATTTGGTATTAATTAAGTTAATTAATAGGTAAATTAATAAAAAAGTGGTTATTTTTATTTTTTAATTAGTAAATGTTCAATGATTTAAGAATAAAAATAAATGTTTGAAGATTTACTAAATAAAATTATTGTATAATATAATGTAAGAATGATCATACAACTACAAAAACTAGCAAAATTAGTATTCATAATATAATTAAACCTTTAATATTCTAAAATGACTCCTTTGATTAAATATTTGAGTCTTATTTTTATATTAAATAATTTATGCCTAAAAGATAATTGATCAATATTAAAATTTCAATTTAATAAATAATAAACCTAATTAAATATTAATTAAAAAGAATAAGCCACTTAAGTTAATCTATCAATTCATTTATTCTTTACTTTTTAATTAAAATTTAATTAAAAAATCACAAGCTACCTTAAAAATAAGAAAAATCTATATATATAACTTATATCTATAAGAAGGGAAAATAAAGTATTATCATTCTGGATCTAATATCTATTCACAATTGTAATATATAGATTACTTAATCAATTAAGATTAGAATTAAGAATACTTTATATTAAATTCACAGTTAAAATTATATAGATTAATTTGACTAAAAAAAATATCTTAGACAAGTATTTTGTTGATATTAAAATAAGAATTTCATAGGAATTATTAATAAATAGGATTTGTTTTCTTCTTTACAATAAGTCTATTATATTATAAATTTTTATTATTTTTATAAAATCTTTAAAATTTAATTAATATAAATATATTAACTGATTAAACCTCTATTATATTACTATATATATTTTAATTTAATATATAATATTATAAATTATAAGGATATTTAAAATTAAAAAAAAATTGCTAATAAAGTTAGATTTAATATTTTTTAACTAAATAAAATTATATTGCAATTCATTTAATAATATTAAAAATTAAAAATAAAATTTTATTAAAATCTGAGTTTTTAATAATTTTTTATATATTTTATATAAATACATTTAAAAATTATTAATAGAATTAATAAATATTCTTTTTTAATTAAATATAATTTTTGTTATTTTAAATCTTATTTTATTAGTTCAAAATGAAGTGTAGGATCAGTGTTTATTTTTCAATAAAAATCATTATGTGAAAGATGTATAATCTATAAAATTTTTTGTGTATTATATAAATTAAATTGTGCATAACTTCTTTGTTGCAATATATTTATGTCTAATCAAAAAAGATTACTATACAGTATTTCTTATTTACCATTAAAAAAAATTTTATGTAATTTATTGCTAGTTACTTTTTAATCATAATATATATGTTTAAAATTTGTAAAAATTCTTCAATTTCATTTTTATTTTCATTTTCAGAATAGTAGTAATAGTTTTTATTTTTTAATATTATTTTATTTATTAATTATTTAAGTTTTTTTTAGATGAATCCTTTTGAGCTGGATCTATAGATATTTCTTATTTTTCTTTTTAGATAATTTATCATATAGATAAGTTTTTTTTGATTTTTATTAAATTATTTTTATTCTTTATTTATTAATTTAATTTTTTTAGATTATATCATTTATTTAATTTTTTTATTTTTATTTTTAATATAATTTTTTTAATTTTCAGATTCAATTACTTCATGTTATAATTATTATATAATTTATTAATTTTTTTAAAATAAAAATTTAATTGTTTAATTATAATAAAAAAATAATAAAAATAATAAAATAAATATTTTTTTAGAGAAATCTTATATATCATATTGTAACAAAATAAATTTATATTGATTTATTTAAATTAATAAAAAATATAAGATAAAAAAAACACAAATAAAATTTAAATTTTATTTAATTATTTTGACGTACTTTTTTTATTATCTAATAATTATATGCTTTATCCTAATCAACCTTTAAAAATTATCTGATTTATTAAGTAATATTATTAAATATTAATTTAATGATTCAATACCTATCCTATTTCTTAAATGAGTTTTAGTAAGTTTATATTGAGAAAATATTCTTTCAACTTATATATTAGATAAAGGGATAATCAAAGATATTTAAATAATTTAATAATATTTGAAAATTAATTTAAAAAATCAGAATACATATGAAAATATATTTTCAACTACTTATTATATTTCGATTTCTAATTTGTTTAATATAATGTTTTGCTATTTTCTATTCTTGTTTTATCTTATCTCCATTAATTATTTTTTTAATATTACTTCCTACACCATCCATTTTTTCTACTTTATAAAAAATAACAAGTTTTTTAATATTTTTATTATCATAATTTTCCAATTCACTTTCTTTTATTAATAATAACTTTAAATTAAATATATAAAAGATATAATAAACTAAATTATGAAAATCTAGATTTAAGACTTTTAATAATTGCTTCAGAAAATTCTTTGATAAATGATGGTAAATTATTTGGTAAAATAATATTATCTTATATATATTTATATAAATAAATACCATATGAAGGAATAGATCTGTCAATTCTAATAAATTGTACTGTTATTGTATCATATATTGTATCTAAATGAATTTTAATTTCTGAAAAACTAACATGTTCTTTTTGAAATATATTAATTAATTTTTGTTAATATAAATATTAAATTTGCAAGAAATTTGATAGAAATAACAAATTTATAATCCAAAACTTTAAGTAAATTTTTAGCTAAATTCTAATTGAATAATTTTTCATTAAATTAAACATCATAGTGCAACACATTAATTACTAAATCCAGAATTTAATATAATTTTTTTATATAATTAGATATTAATATTAATTATATTAATAATGTTTAATTGAGGATCTTTTAATATATCTTAAATTTTACATTCGTTAATAAGAACCTGTGAAATAATAATATAATTTTTTAATAATTAAAATATGAAACATATTTTGCTGCATCTTTTCCAACTAAATGTAATCTATATGCAATATAATACACAAATGTAATAAAGGATTAAATTCTTGCAGCTGTTTAGCAATACTTATTTTTATATTAACTAATATAGCAACTCCATCACTACTAAAATATAATAAATCTTTGATTTTTAATCCTTTAATAAGAATAAAATTTTTTAAATTTAAAGTAATAACATTAGCATTAAGTTCTTCTAAATTTATTATTTTTATATATCATATAACTGATATATTATAAAAAATATGTTATAATACTATAGCTAAATGCTTTTCATCTGTGATAAAATTAGTTTCATCAATTATAATACTTTAATAATTTAAATCCTTTATTTCTTTACATAATGAATTTTTAATTACATAAATAATTGCTTTTTCAAATTCTTTAACAAATGTATTTAATAAATATAATTTATATTTATTTAACTCTAATATTAAATTTTAAAGCAAGTAATAGTAATTGTAATATTTTTAGATGTATTATAAAACTTTATAATTTTAGAATTTTTTCTATGAAAATCTATACATTATATCTGTGTTACTACTTTAATCTTATTAATATCTAATTATTATAAAAATCTAATTAACAAATTACTTTTATTAGGTTTTCTTACTTCAGCTTTAACTTTATATTTATGATAAATAAGATGTCAATCAATACTTTATTTTCTATAATTAATTATTTTTTTTGTAAACTCATTTATATACTATTTACAAAATATATGTATTATTCTATTTATAATTCTATATTTTAACCAAGTATTATTATTATTATCCATCCATTTTAGATCTGAGTTATTTCTATATTTGTGATATTTTGCTTCATATTTTCTGTTTGATAATGATTCTTCAGAAGTTTTAGATTGTGATAATTCTTTTTGCTTACTTTTTTAGTTAACAAATATTTTTCTATTGTAAAAAAATTAAAAATGCAAGATTTTTAAATTAATTTATTTAATTAATTCATAAAAAATGTTATAAAACATTCAAAAATATGTGTAACTATTTAAGCAACTATTTGTAACTGTTTGTATTGTGTGATAACTGTTTATAACTGTTTGTACTGTATGATAATTATTTGTAATTGTTTACACTTTGTGATAATTATTTTCAATTATTTATACTATATAAAAATTGTTTGTATCTATTTATACTATGTAATATTATTTGTAATATTTAATATATAAAATTTTTTATGTGCAGAATAACATACATCTTTCTAAAAATGGTATGTACAAATTATATAATTTTAAGCAGAATAAATAATTCACATATTAAAAAATTAATGCTATGTAGACTATATATAATAAAAGAATATTCTAGTATCTGCTTGCTCAATAATTGAGTCAATGCTAATTGGTTTTTGTAATTACACAAAATTCTAAATAAAGCAAATATTAGTGTAAATTTTTAGTTAAGATTGTTTTAGACTTAATAATAGTTTTTATTTTTCTAATAAAATAATTATAATAAATATCAAAATATATATATTTTATATTTAATAACAAAAATATTTAATGTTTAAGTATTTAAGCTAAAATTGCTTATCTAAATTCATTTTGAATTTGATAAAACATCTAAACTATAATTTCACTAATTTTTTACTAAGATTTTAATATAGTTTCGCATTTTTATAAGCTTTGATATAGTTTATCTTTTCTAAAATTTCACAGATTTTTTAATAAGGTTTTAATATAATTTCACTAAATTTTATCTTTTTTCATTTAGACAATTTGTAAAACCTTTAAGTTTCATTTAACAATCTTAATTTAAGCTATTTAATATTTTAATATATAAATAAAATCAAGAAATATTTATTATTTTCTTTATTATTATAAAAGAAATTTGATATTTAATTAAGTAATAATAAAAATCTTTAATATTAATATAATTTTCTTATTATTAAAATATAATTAATTTATTAATAATATATTTTTTTTAAATATAGGTAGTGATATGCATTTAAAAATTGAAAACTATTGAAATCTTTCAATTCTTTCAATTTCAAGTTTTCTAATGTCAATAGATTTTTATTGGAAGATTAAAAGCACTTTAAACATGTAATTTATAATTATCTAATAAAATTAAATCATATAATAATATATAAGAATCTGAAATTTATTTATTAAATTTTATAAACAGTCATCTTTTCTTATAATAATAGGCCTTAAAACTACTAAAATAATTGATATTAAAGAAGTATGTTTATATAGAAGGTTTTTAAATTTTTAAATTGTTCAAAAATTTTATAAAAACTTAATAATTTTTTCATTTTTTAAATTGAGATTATTTATAATTTCCGTTTTGTTAATAGATATAATTATGCTAGAATATATACATTTTTTTCTCTTTTAAAAAATACTTTTTTTTTACAATTCTGAACTGTAGTTAAAAAGTTTTGTTAGAAATAAAACCTTAATAAATTTCATGTATTTTATATAAAAAATATTTATTACTAATACCTTGACCTTCACCTCTGCGAATACTACCTTTATATATAATTTTTTTGATTCTGATTAAAATGTAATTATGTTTTTTTTTATTAATGTAAATAAATAAATATTTTAACAAACATTGTGTAAATACGTACACAATATTATTTTTTTAAATCTATTTATTTGTTATATTTGAATTTAAATAATTAGGAATATTAATAACTGAACTAAATAAAGTTCTAAGTTTTCATTTACTTTTGTATTAATTACTAGATATATATATTCCCTTAAAAGATTATCTTTTAAACTACCTTAATCATCTCTTATAGTTTCTTTTTCTTTTAATCAGAATCTCTTTTCTTCTTTTAATATTAATACCTATTCAATAAGTTCTCTTTTCTAATGTTTAGAAATAATAATATTACTTTCATCTCTAATGATATCATTATCATCTATTAGATTTTGTTGTAAATTTTTTTCCAAAGATTTAACTGGTCTAGCATTTAAATCATAAAACTCTGCTTCATTCTTTTGTAATTTCTTTTTCTAAATAAAAAATTAATAGCTGTATAAAGTTTATTCATTAATAATACTTTATTATTCTAAAAATAAATATTAATTAAAATGTGTAAACTTTAAAATTAATTATTATTTAATATTTAATAATTAGGATTTACATTTAATCAATTACGATAATTTGTATGAAAAAATCTCATAGAAGATTATATGCATTTAACTGATGTAGCATTCACACAAATTCTAAAAATTCTTAAAATAATACTAGCTAATTCTTTATAATCACTTTCAATATACTTTTAAAATTTAAATATATTATCGATTTATCATCAAATGGTTCAAATTTCTAACGATAATTTTCAAAATCCAATAATAATCATGTTAGTCATTTCTAAAACTATACTTTATAATAATATATTATATAGCATCCTAATGTGATAAATGATAAATTTTCTATCCTAGGATTAAAATATATAAGCTTATACTTTGGATAAAGTATAAAAGAAAATAATAATAATGGTTATTCTCATTTATTCTAATATTTTTCTAATTAATTTACCTTTTTTCTTCTAGTTTAACAACTGAAAACCAATCTCAAAACTGAATAAAATATCCTAAAGCATGAAATAATTCAAAAAGATGAGCTTTGTCACTTTGAAGTTTATTTAAAACTCCACAGTATAGTAATAAATTTCTTGTTAAAGTTCTATTATATCCCACCAATTTTGATCAAAAAGAATTTTACAAATACTTTGTTTAAATAGATTTCATTCATACTTGATATATTTGTTATTGAGAAGTTTAATTCTATTGGAAGAGGTTCATATCAAATTGCCAAATTCTAAAATAAATTAATAAATAAAATAAATTAATTAAATAATATATAATTATTAAATTTATATTTATTCATAAAGCCTGTTAGATTTTACTATACTTTGAAAATAAAAGTAATAACTATTCTATCTACAGAGGGTCACCAAAAGTCTTTGAATACTATTTTTTAAGTTTAATTCTATGCTAGTAACAATATGTAACTTAATAATATTATAGTTATATAATATTTTAGAGTTTGTTTACATAAATCAAACTTAATAAATGCGTATTTTGTTTATTTATTTTAACTTTAATTCAAAATAAATTTTATTCTTCAAAATCAATAAAATAAGTAAAAAATTAATAAAAGAACAATATAATGCTATATTTTATTGCTGTTAATGTGTGACAGTTATAGAACTATTGTCACGACTGTTAGATGTGAGGTATTAACAGTATTTGATATTTTAAAAAAATGAATGAAACTAGAACTGCTAATTTAAGGTTCCATTCCAGTCGTCTGTTTCTTATTAAACTTTTGTAATGAAACTAGCTTAAGTGACTTATAACTAATGGTAAAGAAAAGAATCGTCACTTATGTATTACTAAAGTTTAATAACTATGAAAGAAAAAGACAAATTAGGATGTTTCAGCTAATATAATTGTCCGAATATTTCATAAAGCTAGGCTAAGAAATTATTTTGCTTGATATAAGCCTTAATTTTACTAGCAAATATGTAAGCATATCTTATATAGACTTTAGAACACTAAAATTAAACAAAGTATAATTAGACAAAAGATATGTAGAGTGACGAATGACCTTTTTCTAATTCTAATAAAGCAGGTGTAGTAAAGTATGATGAGAGCTGCAAGACAAGTGGAACCTTTCTTATATTGCTGCCACTGTAAGATATAGCCCTAGACAAATATTTTGGGAATGCTTTTTAAGACAAGACTTAGGACCTATTATCTTATTATTTGGAATAACAACTGGTATTACATATATTACCATCTTTCACAAGTATGTTATGCTAACTATGAGATGTGTATTTTCAAATAGTGATGATTTATTTCAGGAGGATAATACTCACCCTTACAAATTGAAAGTTGCAAAGAAATTTTACACAGAAAATGATCTGCATATACTTTTATAGTCTGCTTAAAGTCCAGATCTTAATCCAATTGGAAACCTGTAGACTGATATCAAAAAAAGCATTTATGAAAGAAAAAAACTGACTTCTAATCTTACTGAACTTAAATGATATATTAAAAAAGCATGATGAGATATTCTTATACATACTATTAAAAATTTGATTGATAGTATACTGCAGCAAATTCAGATGGTGATTGAAGCAAAAAGAGACCTTACTAAGTACTAGTTACTTAGTACAAAATGTAGATTAGACCTTATTTAAATAAAAATATGATTGATTTTTTTCGTTTTAATTTTAAATTTTAAGTTTTATATTAACCTAAAAAGTGTTCAGAAACTTGGTAACCCTCTGTAGTTTTGTTTAAAACTATAATTGGATAATATTTGCTATACAACTCCTTTTATATATCTTATAATTTACCAATAAAATAGTTATTATTTTCATTTTTAAAATATGCTGCTACTGTAATTGCTTTAGTTAATGTATCTTTTAAAATAAAAGATTCTTTAAAAATATTACAGATTGTTAACTGATATTGATATGCAAAGTAAGATAAAAATACAATATAAGAATATTCTAAATGAAGTCTTTATCTATTATAATATAAAAATTAATTTTAAATAATTAAAAATTAAATAAATAAATACAATTGATTAATCTTACCAAGCCCTGCATAAGCTGCAGTACTATCAGAAATTATAGCAATTATTTTTGCATCTAAATCATTAGCACTTTTAATTAAATCCTTGATTTAGGTATTACTTTAATCATACGTTTTCTTTTACTATTAATATCTAATTCTTTCTATATTAAAATTTGACCTGAAGAAATAATAAATAATAATCCAAATATATGTTGATTTAAAACATTTTTTCATTTGTCAAATGCTAATATTACACTAACTTTATCATTATTTAACTACTCATTTTGTAATAAATTTACACTTATTGTTTCACTATTTAATATATAATTTAATAAAGCTTTTTATCTTAATAAAATCAAATTTAGATTTAAAAATTTAATGTTATTTGATTTTCAATCTATTGAAATGAAACTCATTTAATATAGTTATTCTTAATAAAAGATATTTAAATATAGGTTGTTCTTTATATGTAAGAGTTCTAATAAAAATATTTTCTATTATATTATCATTGGTTTTAACTAGATGAAGGTAGTGTTTAAATAATACTATTGATATTAATGTAAGAGATCAAACTGAAGATACTTCTTCTTTTAAAAAATTAAGAAATACAATATCAAAATTATTTTGTATAGATTCTAAGTATTTGAGTACTTTTTCTTTTCCAATCTTACCAGAATCTAAATTAACTTTTAAGCATTTTTGCCTTGCAATTTTTTTATTTTCATTATCTGTTAAATTTATAATGCTATCTACTTTTTCTTGACTACTAATTTTTTCTAAAATGTATCTACAATTTTTTAAATAATTTTTTACTTATGATTTTTTATTTGTAAATATATACTTTAAGAATTTGCTAACTTCTAAATTTTCTAAATATGCAAGACAAATAAAGTTATTCAAATTATTTTATTTACCAATAATTTTAATATATTGTGTTAAACAATGCTTTTTAGGTTTATTTTTTCTTTTTATATTCATTATAATAGATAAATGCAAAATAAAAAAATTTTAAAAAAAATTTTTATAAAAATTTTTTAATATATAAGATTTAAGATCATCTATGATTGATTATCTATGATTAAAAATAGTATTAGAAGTATTAGAAGTAGTATTAGAATCTTCTAATAGCCAATTCTAATAGTACAAAAATTTGATTGAAAGCTTTCAATACATATTACTTATTGGAAGATCAAATTCTTCAATTCTAATAAAATTCTATTAAAAGTACAAAATGCATATTACTGATTATAAGGGAGGATGATTGTAATTCTAAAACTTTCAGTTTTAAAGAAGACCTAGTTTATAGGACTTAGATCCTAAAACTAAATTTTAAGATCAGGTTCTGAGACTGCAATTCTATAAAAAAAAATAATTGTTTAAGAAGAATAATTCTTTATCATTCATTTTGAATAATTATTTTTTTTATCATTTAAGTCAAATGATTATTTATTATACTTCTTAAATAACTATTTTTTTTATTATTTAAGTTGAATAATTTCTTATTATTTTTCTTAAATAATTTTTTTATTATTTGAGTCAAATGATTAGTAATTATTTTCTTAAACAATTATTTTTTTGTTATTCAAGTCAAATGATTACTTATTATTCTTCTTAAATGATTATTTTTATTATTTAATTAAATGATTCTTTATTGTTCTTCTTGAATAATTATTTTTTTATAGAATTGCAGTCTTAAAATCACAAGTTCTAATTTTTATAAAATTGCAATTTTTATAGTTTAAAGAATATTGAACTTGATTAAACATTATAGACTATTTAGGATCTGATCACATAGAATCTTTTAATATTTCTAATAATTATAAAAGATAGTTAATACTTATAAATAGATTTATTTTTTATATAAAATTAATAAAATTACTAAAAATTCTATATTATTAAAAGTATAATAAATATTGAAAGTTGAAAATTCAAAAAAAACTGTTTCAAATAAGAAGAATAATTATATAATTTAATATTTTTTTATATGTTTTATAGTATTTTTTAATGATTTTACATGATTTATTTTTATTATAAAATATAAGCAATTGCAATAAGTAAATTTGAAATATTTGTATTACTTTACAATATATTTATTTAATCTAATTAATTCTGTTTTTACATTATTATTTAATCATTAAAGATATATTTGAGACAAAAAATATATAGAATATTAAATTATTAATTTGATTAATTTTTATTTATTAAAGGAAAAAAAATAAATAAAAGTTGAAAATAATAATTTAATAAATAATAACATAGATAAAGTATCCTTTTATATTATATATGCTATATGTTATTTTATAAAAAAAGTTATAAAAGAGTGAAATATAGATAAACAAATTACAGATAAAATATTATGAATAAAAAAATAAATATAAAAGTTGATTTTATTAGAGCTATTAAAATAATAAAGATATTTTATAAAATAGAATATTTTAAGAAAAAACTGTTTATATACTTATTTGATAAAAGGCAATATTTTAAGAAATTAAATTTAGTTTGAAAAAATTTTTTAATTAGTTTTATTAATAGTTTAATTACTTAAATATAATAAATAAATAATAAATTATATGAAAAAATTAAATTTTATATTATTTACTTATATCATTAAATAATATAAAAAAATTAATTTTTTTAAATTTATTCTTAGATTTTATTTATATTTAAATAGATATAAGTAATAAAAGTCTAATTATAATACTAATCTTAGTGTATCTATAATTTCAAGATAATTAGATTATAAAAAAATATCTGATATATATAAATAATATATAGAGAAGATTCTTACAAATCATTTAGAGAATTCATTTTTTTAACATAAATATTATCATAATATTCATGTTTAGAGATAATCAAATATTATTAGTATATCTTAGATAATATATATAATAATAATTATAATAATTATATATTTAATACTTGTAAAATTATAAAATAAAACAATTAATCTAAAAATTGTTAATACTAAATTAATTACTAGATATCTTAAAAATAATTTATTATAAACTTAAATATTTAATATAAATATCATAAATAAGATAATATAAGAATAAATAGTTTTGATAATAAGATTATAAATAGATTGATAATATATAGTTATAATAATAAACTAGTAAAAAAAGAATAATCAGCATATATAAAATATTACTTTATCATTTTATTAAA